AGTCATTTTTGTTTTAGTCATTTTGCGATAAATTTATATCGAGATAAATTTGAGAATTGATAATAAAGATAGAGAGTTAATTAATAATTAATTATTCTGTTGCACAATAATTAATCACCGGATAATGATCAATTAATTGCGAACTGTCGACTAATTAATTAAATTAAATTATACGTAAATAATTAGAATAATAGCGTAAATAAATATATAATAAATAAAAAACGAAATTTTTTTGTTTTGATATTCTAGCAGATCTTCATAAATTTGTCCTTTCACAAAATCATGTTCAGCATTCTTACTCTTTAAAAATTCATCGAAATGCAATATTTGTAAGCCTAATGCCATTAACGGGTGTAGACGTTTGCAACGGTTAAAATGTTTATCCTCAAGTATTCCATTTACAGACCCCGAAGCAACAATTTTACTCTCAATCATCATGTGAGATAACCCGCACTCATTGATGAAAGTACCAACAGCTTTAAAAAAAGCCATCATTAAATGAAACGAGCCAAGATGTATGAAAAGATTACTAAACTTTAAACCTTCTCTTGCTTGAATTTTATAAGCTATTTTAGCAATGGCTAAGTCATAGGTAACTTGTACATAAGTTTGACCACATTCTTTACCAACATTTTGTGCTTGTTCCATTGTGTAGGCTACTACTGATACATTTGTCGGTGATAAATTAATAGGAGTGAGATAAGATACTTTCTGTGTTGGACTATTGTCTTCTATAATTCTGCTATTGAATCCTGTCCACGATGGTGTGTTCGGCACGTGAAAAACATATGAAAGCAAATGCAATAGATCAATTGTTTGTATAGAGGAGAAATTTTCGGGTAAAGGTGATGGCTGATCGATTTGAACTGACGTTAAGCGACCCAACATCTTTAATCGCTTGCTATAAGGAATAATATCTGGCGTAATTTCTGTCTAAGTTCTTCTTTTTTGAGGCGGTCTTGTTGGTGAAACATTTTCGGAGTTTGCATTACCATCATCTTGGTTCAATCCACTACAGGAATTATTATCAATGTTTTGGTATATAATCCCCACAGTGTCATGTAAAGTTTCTTTTCCATTCAACGTGTCAACATATCTATCGAAATTATCGAACGCTACACCGGTGCATAGCGAAGGATTTAAAATAATGTCTGGAGGACAAACTTGGGATTGACGTACCGATGAGATAGTTGCTTCTGTTTCTAATTCTTCTAGAGTGGTATAGTTACAGCAATGTCCAAATCTATTTAAAATATTTATTATTTTCTTGCTGCTTGTTAGACTTTTTATAGTCATACCAAGAGTGATATGTTTAGATGGTTTAATAGTGCCATTACTTACACAAAAAATGGAATCAGCAGTCAGAGAGGAACTCAATCTACTACAATTTAGACTATCTCTGCGTCTTATATCTTTACCCCCCATCAATACTTTGAAGAATCGATTTAATTTATCAAGAATCACGCATTCACCAGTAATTAAGTCATGTGTTTTAATTTTCAATGGTAATTTTGATTTTTCAATTTTTAAAATAGCATTTCGCAAGGTTAATGCAACTTTATCAATTAAGTTGTCTTCTTCAAGTCTTGTAAAATCATTTTCTAGTAAGCTGCAATCTTTATGAATGATAATTTTCTTCTTTTGCTTCGATATAAATTTAATACTTTTCTTAAAATGTTTTTGTATTTTTTCTTCTAGATAATGATTAGTTATTAAACTAATATCTGACTGAGGGTCTAGTTTCTGCTCATATTCCAAATAATGATTGTACGTATCACAGAGAGATGATAACAATACACAATTTTTTTTTTGCAAAACTTCTTCTACCGTTGATACAATATGATTAAAAATATATTTATGAATATTACGATTTTCATGCCAAGAAGTATGTGGAATGTCTGAAACTATTTTATTATAATCATTTAAATAATTTAATTCACATAAATGATGATAAAAAATTGTTTTATTTTCAGATTTAAGACGATTAATTTTCTGTAATAATTCTTCGTTAATAAGTTTTTCCATCCACTCAATAATTTTATCATAAAGCTTTGCATCGTTTGAGGAATAAAGATTTTGTTGTTTACCCTTATTCTGTTTACGATCTTTATCACAAAAAAAGCAAACATTTTTGAGTTGTCGTTCTTTTCCAATATCTTCAATATTAGTGTCAGGAATTTCATTAAAAACGTTAGTTTCATTGATACTTAAATCACAAGTCGAGCTGGAAGCAACATCTTCTAACGTTGTCTGACTATCTAAATTTGAAGCAGCATTTTCTGATGATGTCTCGCGGTTAAAATCTAAATCAGGATGTCTTGATATGCTCTGGTTATTTGAACTAGGAGCAACATCTTCTGGTGTTATTTTACTGTTCAAATTCAATTAAAAATCTCCTGATTTTGTTTGAATGTTTAAACTTGAAGAAGCAACCTCACTGTAGGAGCTTTGAGTTACGTTTCTTAGAACAGTTTCACTAATATCTACTGGAGTACTCGGTGACAAAGTGAGTGAAGTGGAGTTACTGGCATAATCTGTTTCTGATGATGAATCACGGTATTTTGCCATCAAAGCAGTAAAACTACTATAACATTGTCTATGATATCCATCTGTCTTATTTATTTGCGTGGGCAGCTCAATGTTACTGTACTTTGATTTATATTTCACACGTACACTTAAAACTTGCTGACATTTTTTTAGTTTATCACTTACGAAAAGTATTATGTTATCGTTATGTCCTTTACAAAAAACACATTTTATTTTATCACTGGCCATTGTAATCAAATTAAGAAATAAACATTAAAATCAAAACAAAAACAAACATGTGACATTAGACTGACGCCATCTTGCAAACTTGCCTGTCGCGCCACTGTCGTTGTCTATCTCTCTATCGCTCTTCAGCTGTCTCTGTCGGACTACTAGCATTATACTGCAATACTTTTCATGACTTTTACATTTTAATTCAAGACTTAACAATCGAATTAATGTCTGGCAAATTTATTTTAAGTTTTTCTTATCTTTAAATAATATAATATTAAAATTACAGACAATATAAAATACTTTGAAATTTTAATAAAAAAAAAAAATCGCGTATGGCACATAGTAAGCATTGTCAAAAATGTCTGGCAATAAAAAAAGTATGTCAGGTAGACTTATTTAAAAACGAAAAATTACGCCTTCTAAAATGTTTTTAAAATCCAGGATTATTACCTGGACAGGTAGGATGCGCACTAAAGAACGCAACCGCTACCGCCAGCCAGATAGCCCAGACTCTAATCGAAAGTGCAAGAAGGACGACATATCACAAAATCAGCTGACCTAAAATTCTTTCTCGAAAACGTTGCTAGCTCCTATACTATAAAGAGCTGATTAGTTTTTGGAATT